TTAGCGTACATTAGTAAATACAGTAACAAATGTATTGCTCATGGTTAGTTCATGTTAGTTAATATATTAACTAATGAACCTTATTGTAAAGTGTTACCAAAATAATATGTGTTATAATGTTCATATACTATATATAACAAACAAAAATTAAAAAAATATATAATTAAAATTACTCCACATCTCAAATGACCTTTTCATGTAACATCATCCAGTCTCTAATCACCTGTCAAATAGAGTCCATGTATGTTTTAACATCTTTACAATACTAAAGATTCAACAAGTATTTTTTAATTAAATATCCCTAAGCTGCCTAACAGATCCTGAGAAAACACTCTCTGCCTATTAATCATTTTGTGTGTTCAGCATTGCTGATATATGGTGTGGTCGAAATTTAAGAGATCCTCAACACAAAAATGAAAAACCTTCCATCATTTACTCACCCTCATTTCATTCCAAACCTGTAAGAATTACTTTCTTCTGTGGAATATATAAGAAGATATGTCTCTGGGGTTTTTTGTCTTTAAGAAGTCAATAGGCTCCAATGTTGTTTGGTTTCCAGTGTTCTTCAAAATAACTTATTTTGTGTTCTGCAGAAGAAAGAAATGCATACAGGTTTGGAAACGCACGAGGGTGAGTAAATGGTAACAGAATTTACATGTTTGGGTGGAGAATCCCTACTGTAAAAATCTGTGATGGAGAATCAGAAAACTTAAATGGTTTCAATTAAATCTGGAAAACTTTCACTGTGCCTGAGAAGAAAACAACAGAGAGATTCTGAAAGATTGAGTTATTCGGCTCAATTGTTTTGCAGACTAAACTGTCCTAACACATGGGTTTTAATTGCCTTTTTATTGCAGCACTGGATGCTGATCCATACCCCTATGGATTCTTTTGTGGTTTTGGAGCTGGTTTGCGCAAGATGTTCCTCGACAGCACCACAAAGATCTGGGCTCTAATGAGAAGCAGTAAAGAGGCTTTCCCTGTAAGCACTTTCATGGCCGTGGATCTGCCTCTTCACGCTCTCCCAAACGTCCTCTGCTGCGGTCGATCAATCCGCGGTGAGTTTTTCAGTTTTGATCATTACCTAACAGCTCCACTTACACCAAACATTATCTAATCTGAAGGAAGTGGAAGTAAGAGCGTTGAGATAACGTGACAAGTCAGTTGTGAAGATACAGCGGCCTCTTTGTAGGCCCTATGTGTTTTCCATTGAGAAAGAGAGCTAAGCTTGAACTAAAAGCTTATGTAGTTGTAGTTTCCACAAACAAACCGTTAACATGCAGTCCAAAAACTGCATTTTTAGAACTAAAAACCCTTAAAACATGATTTATGGGTGTGTGTGTGTGGGGGGGGGGGGGGGTTCCAAATGGGAATATCCCCAAACATTTCCAAAAGGTGGTTGTGTCAAATTAAGTTCACTTCTGAGGAAATCTGTCCCCAAATATAGCTAAATTTGAGGCTGAAAAACCCTTAACCTCCTATACAAACATGCCTTAGCATGCACTGCTAAGAACTTGCACTTTGAGCATGTTTTCTGTTTCCACTAGAGGACAGTGATGAACAAAATGTTCCCTTACCTTAATGCATATACCCACCTCTGTCTCTCTGAGGAGGATTGGTGAGACTATTGCATAGGTGCTGGAGAAGTGTGTGTGGAGAGGTGTGAGGGTAAACTTAGCCTTCCGGAGATGTTTACTCATCGAGATCTATGTGGGAGAAGCGCTGGAGGACATGAATCCTCTGAGAAGACCCATGGGAAAGAGAGGTGAGCCAGAATAGTACCTATAGAAAACTCACACGCGGTATCTGTCTGCAGGGGAAATGTTTGATGAAACGAACTGAGAACGGCAAACGTGTTGCCAAGCAGATCGTCCCCAAGATACTGAAAACAAAAGCTCGATAGTTGTGGTTTTAAAACAGGTAAGCCATGAATCATATGATACACTCTTAAAAATAAAAGTTCCAAAAAGGGGGTTTTGCAGAAGAACCATTTAGGCGTCCCCAAAGAACCTTTCAGTAAAGCAGTAAAGAATCTTTTGTGCAATAAAAAGGTCTTCATAGAACCACTAAACCCAATAACGTTTATTTTTAAGACTGTACACATCATGCTACCACATTTTTAAAATTGTTTAAGAGAAAAAAAAGAATAACAATATATATTTTGGCAGACAAAACTATCATATGACTTGAAATCTGGCACTCTAGTCATATGGACTACTTTTTGGTGTCAGTTTGGAACTTGACATCTTGGAGATTTCTTCTAAACATCCCCTTTTGTGTTCCATGGGTTTGCAGCCACATGAAGGTGAGTAAATGATGACTAAATTAAATTTCTTCCTCTCAGGCAGTAGAATAAAATGTGCATACCCACAAGCTGACATTGAGGACAGACTGTAAGTTCTAGAGAGATCTCCAGCGGATGTCAAGAGGCCCTTGAGTGTCACATGCAATCAAAACTTCACACTGATCACCACTAGAGACTCGTCCCTATAGCAAGCTGACTAATGCAGTCTTGGTACATGGTTTGCAATACAATTCACTCTCAAAACTATATAATGTCGTTTGAGAATGCAATGCTAAACAAATAAATGTAAATTATCATACAATGTGCTTTGGTGTTTCTTCATAGAACCACTAAACCCAATAACGTTTATTTTTAAGACTGTACACATCATGCTACCACATTTTTAAAATTGTTTAAGAGAAAAAAAAGAATAACAATATATATTTTGGCAGACAAAACTATCATATGACTTGAAATCTGGCACTCTAGTCATATGGACTACTTTTTGGTGTCAGTTTGGAACTTGACATCTTGGAGATTTCTTCTAAACATCCCCTTTTGTGTTCCATGGGTTTGCAGCCACATGAAGGTGAGTAAATGATGACTAAATTAAATTTCTTCCTCTCAGGCAGTAGAATAAAATGTGCATACCCACAAGCTGACATTGAGGACAGACTGTAAGTTCTAGAGAGATCTCCAGCGGATGTCAAGAGGCCCTTGAGTGTCACATGCAATCAAAACTTCACACTGATCACCACTAGAGACTCGTCCCTATAGCAAGCTGACTAATGCAGTCTTGGTACATGGTTTGCAATACAATTCACTCTCAAAACTATATAATGTCGTTTGAGAATGCAATGCTAAACAAATAAATGTAAATTATCATACAATGTGCTTTGGTGTTTGTTAAGGCTGTTGTTTATATGGACTGTCTGAATACTCGATTCAGATTGGCAGGCATGTATGCATTAAAACCGTTTAATGCACAGGTAGTTCCAAGTCAGTTTAATGACCGTTCTAATGCACTGCTTTCACTGACACACACACACACACACACACACACACATAGCTATGCACCGATGTTAACTATAATTTTTTACTATTTAAACAATCATTTTCATGTTATAGTTGATAACTGATATATTAAACCGATACCCATACTAAAATTCTCAAATATTTTGTCTAAATGCATTAATAAAAATTAAATATTGTAAATGCTACAAGTGAATTTAGGCATCGCAACATTGTAAACACGTATAATGTACAATATGAAAAATAGATATTTAATTAGATATTCGCTGAAGACAGATTAGTGTTTAAATTAGTGTTTTTAAATATAAACTTTAGGTGAGCATTAGAAAAACCAAAGGTAATTGAAATGCGAAAAAAAATAAAAGGATGTACAATTAAATATCCAACAATAACCTTATAAGGTACCAATATACATAGTGCATACCTAATTTAAATTATAAAGTATATTTTTAAAGTGCAATTGCATGTGTATATAAAGATAGCATTCAATGTACTGAATTTATGCTGACTTTTGAAAAAAAAATAATTGGGTCTGGTCATTTAACAGTATTGAGAATGAGGAAGGGAGAAAAAATGTCGCAATGCATGATATCTTAACGGTTCTTTTTTGATTTGGGGTAAAATATGACCCAGACGTTTCTCCATGAGATTCACCAGTAAAATCCCCCTTTGTCCCTGCATTAAAAAAAAATTAAAATCCTCCTCTTTTCACGTTGTTCTGCTGATCACCTGATTTATCTTTGTCACACCATACGTCTGCTTATCTCCTGTGCCCATTAACCTCTGCTGATTGCACTCTGGATATTTCTTCCCTCAATCTTCCTCTCTCTGGTTGAATTGCACTGATTGGCACCTCTGTTTCTGCAGGTAATTAGCTGCATCCACTCGAGTTGTGCGGAAGACTCCGGGTGCGCCGGTGTTTCCGCACAGGCATCTGTTTTTCTGCCGCATGTAGCTACTTATTAGCTCCTTTCAAAATCGGGCACAAATTAGAAAATATTTACACACTCAAGAGTGTGCAGGCGCAGCTAATTCAGCCAGTGAGAAAATGAGAAATTATCTTGGGCTAAGAAACGACATGAAATGTATAAAGATGATGATGTTAAAGGTGACCTGTGCATGCGTGGTTGGGTATTTCAGCGTACAGCACAGCCTGTGCAAATACACGCTCCGTCTGTCTCTGCCGGGTGTGAAAACACAAGAGTTTCATGTTCCTGGGGAAATTTCAAGAAGAAATGTCCAGATGATATTTCAACACAGGCAGTCTAGAAAGTTTTAAAAAGTCATGGGATACTAAACTGTACCATATTTGTGGAATGTGCAACATATCCAAATCAAAACCACTCTAATTATTTAGTTAAAAGCAATTAAAACACAATTAAAAAAAAAAACTTAAAAAAATTATTGAATATTAAAAATATTAAATATCATATTTAATTTAATCAGAGCATTTTGATTTCACTAAAAATGTAAGTTAAGTGGTAAAAAAAATTAAAAGTATGTAATATAAATAATTATTTAATGTAATATTAATAATTCTAAATATTCAATAATTATATGTGAGACAATAGTTTTGTAAAATGTAACATTGTCTAATAGTCATCAAATACCAACGTGTACCATAATTCTGGAAATCTGTGTTATGTATTATTCTTTTTTTTTCTTCATTTTGACATTATTTTCATGACAATTTAGTACATTTCTCCAAAGTATAATTGTCATTATAAATGTATTATATAATTTCAGTAAATAAGTTAAATAATTTTAGGGTAATGAGAGAATTTGAGAAAGAGAAAATAATGTCCCAATGCAATACATTTCTATTTACTGTATATGGGATTCATTTTAATTTGTCAATTGTGTTTTATGTCAAATGTTTAGGTGTTTTTCTAACTTTTAGATTTGTGGGGGAAATATGACCTAGACATTTCTTTTCAGTAAATTCACCCCCTTTATACTCCCACATCTTCCATTCCAAGGCCAGCACAAACTGTTGTGTTTTTGATTGATCACTGGCTGATTATAAAGATTAACACCACACACCTACATTAACGTGTTCCTGATTTCAGTTGATTATTATTGTAACTACATTATGTGCTACTGCTAACCGATGTGGAAAGTAAAAATGTGCATCCCCAGTGACGGACCCGGGGGTTTCAGACGTGAACATATAGCTGTGTTTGAGAATAAAATACTGCTCTAGGATCAGAGGTGGACGTTTATCTGTGGCGTGGGAGAGGGGGAGAGGGCTGGTCTGGGTTCAATGCATCTGCTCTTCATGAACGACAGCAGCTGGTCGGGTATCTCAGCCAGTACATCCTTGGCCAGTCGGGCCATGCTGAGCACCTGGTTCCCGGATCGGTCAATGTAGTCCCGGAATGGCACAAACTAGAAATACAGAGATGAATTATATGAAAAACAGCTTTTTAATTACACTAAAAACTGTAAGGTGAGTGGTTAAAGAAAATTATATTATAATATGATAATAACTATATACATATAAAATCATATCAAATTAAAATATTTAATATATTAATCAATTTTAATATTTAATAATTATACAAAAATTATGTGGGACAATAGTAATGTAACATATCTAATAGTATTCACACAAAGAAATACATTTGTATCTCTAAAGCTTTAAAAAGTCATGGGATACCAAAGTGTACCTTATTTAACTTATCAAAACCACTTATTGTAATTATGTAGTTGAACATAATCAAAACAATATAAAATCAAAAGAGCTAAACTGATCATGTTAAATTTATTCAGGGTGTAAAAAAGGTTTAAAAAAATAATAATTTAAACAAAGTATTCAAAGCTAAAAAAGGCTTTTTAATTTCACTAAACAAATGTAAGGTAAGTGGTAAAAAAATACTACAAATAATATTAAAATGTATACAATATATCAAAACCACTTACTGTAATCATTTAGTTAAAAATAATTGAAACCTAATTTTAAAAAAGCAAATAAAACGGAGTCAAATTTATCATGTTAAATTTACTCTGGGCATAAAAGGGTTTTTCTTTTTTTCAGTATTGAAACTGAAACGGTATTGAGAAAAAAAAAACTTTCCTCAATTCTCATTCTAATAATTCTCTTTTTTCTGCCATGCTATATTGCTGCATGTTTACGGTTTGCTTGTCCTGATTGTTGTACTTTGCAACAGTTCTGAAGCTATAAAAAAAATCAGTATTGAAGCTTAAAAAAAGGGTTTTGATTGAACTAAAAAAATTAATCAAATAGGCAAAAAAGCAATAAAAAGAATTATAGCAAAATTATTTAACAAATAATTATTTAATACAATATTAATAATTCTAAATATTAAATAATATTACATACAAAGGGGGGAAAATAAAAATTTTCAGAATTGAAAAAAGACCAAAATTACCACATAAAGATGGATAACATTATGTACCTGGACAATGTCTCTCTCAGCAGCACGTCCCCTGGAGGACACCCTGACCTCATCTCCATCCAACTCTTCCATAGCTGTTACATTACCACGAGAACAGTTGCATCACATGTCATATTCTTGTTTTGAAAGCATCTCAGTTTGAAGTGCCATAATCTCACCATCAAATTCAGCAGGGCCAACTCCTATAATTATGACTGACATGGGCAGAGACGCCGCCTGCAAACAGGGAAGGGGCGGCAGTATGTGATCGGTGCCCTGCTAAAAAGATTATTGTATTTACAGAACATTGTGAAGGTCTAACAAGCAAAAATGACTCACGGTGACCACAGCTTCTCTAGTCTGTACCATGTCGGAAATGACACCGTCTGTGATGATCAGCAACACGAAGTACTGAGAGCCATCTGTCACCTCTGACGCACACCTGAGGATGTACAGTACACTTAAGAGTTAAAAGCCTCTATATTTAAGCAAAACAAGAACATTACTTCTCAGAAACTGAAAATTATTCCAAGGAAAATTATTCCGTATGTGCACTAAAACTAGTACATTTCTAAGTAGTTGCTATGGTATTATGGGTGATTTGTAACTGGCCCAAGAGGAAACAAATATTCTAATGCCTAGAAATGGCTTTGGGTTACAAGAAAAAAAAAGAATAGTTAAAGTTAAGGGTTTGGTCACTAGATCAGGGCATACAATCACTAGAATCACTAGAAATGCCTGGTAAAATACTTCTATCTAAGCCTTTTTCTGAACTTACATTATTAAATCTGTCTGTTCCTTCCAGTCCATCGACCCTAATAACCACCTCCAGATATTGTCTCAGTCACGGCACGTAAGAAGCGGCGAGCTGAGAGAGGAGACTCGTACCAACTCTGAAAAGTTGACCACTTCAGCAGCAGCTGATCAATATCTGCCTCTTAAAGCAGCTTTGCAGTTCTGGGAGTTTGATTGTCTTCAGATTGAGAGATTTAGCTGGATTTGAAGAAGCCTTGAAACTGACAAGGGCAATTAAAAGCCTCTTCATGTGTGTACAAGGTTTGGAACTTTTGTCATGTTGTGTGATGAGCGGTGCATGATATACGTGATATTTGAAGCAGATCAGAGATTAATTTTTCAATTCAAACCCTACATTCTTCTTCTGAGTCAAATTTAAAGAGTACTAACTATCCATGTTTTTATTCATTTTATCATGAAATAAAATTGTATCATGAATATCAATTAATTAATAACATGTATTTTAAATGTAATAATTTATTATTATTATTATCTTTAATCAACACTGTAAAACATTTTTATAAATTGTAAATAAAACAACAAGAAAAAGAAAATACTATTGTTTTCAGAAAATATGTGACCATAGACCACAAAACCAGTCATAAGGGTCAGTTTCTCGAAATTGAGATTTATACATCACATGAAAGCTGAATAAATAAGCTTTCCATTGATGTATGGTTTGATAGGGCAATATTTGTCCGAGATACAACTATTTGAAAATCTGGAATCTGAGGGTGCAAAAAAATCTAAATATTGAGAAAATCGCCTTTAAAGTTGTCCAAATGAAGTTCTTAGCAATGCATATTACTAATCAAAAATTACGTTTTGATATATTTACAGTAGGAAATTTACAAAATATCTTCTTGGAACATGATCTTTATTTAATATCCTAATGATTTATGGCATAAAAGAAAAATCGATCATTTTGACCCATACAATGTTTTTTTGGCTGTTGCTACAAATATACCCTAGCGACTTGAGACCAGGTTTTATGGTCCAGGGTCACATATTATTTCAGTCTTTATACTTAAAACAATTGCATTTATTCAGTGTGTTACTTGCCTTTTTGTTGTAATTAATTGTGAAATTTACTAGCAATTTGAGTGAAAATCGTTTCGAAGTAACTACATTTTTTTCATTGTATATCTGTGCATCCCTACTTTTGTAGCTTTTCTTTTAAATAAATAAATAAATACATAAATTCTGATTAAAATCTGATTTTTTTTTTTAAATATTCTATTTAGCTAAAACATTTCCCCTAACTTTCTTGCACTAAACTCTTAAACCCTTCCAATTAAATTGGTTGTTTTTGCTACTATAATTTTGACACTTCATGTAAATAACCTCTCTTGTGACTGGCTAACCTCTTCATATTTTAAGTAGTTCAAACTCTCATTCATGCCATGATATTTAAATTTCATATGTTAATGTGCTCATGGCTTCATATTACAACCATGCTGATTTCTAATGACCCATTTTTGCAGCTCAGTTTCAGTAAATAATCAGACTGGAGAGGGCACTTTGTGTTGCGAGTGCTGTCTACATAGTAGTCCATCAAAATCTTGTATTTCAAACAAACAAGAAAAATCCTGTTTTCCATGATATGAAAGGTTTTTTTTCTGCGTAGTAAACATCAGACCTTGACTGCATCTGAGCAGCAGGTACACTGAGTGAAGTGTTAGTCAAGAGCAGGATTCTGGAGGAGTCTTTGGAGCACGTGTGCGCGAAAGTGCATTTGTGTGGAGAGTGGACAGGCTTTAGAGTGAATAACAAGTGGATAGTGACAGGAATGAGTTCAGCTCGCAGCGGAGACAGAAAAAAGACCAGGGCAGAGGGACAGAGAGAGAGCTCAACCTTGTGTCAATTGCAGGAGAACTGTTTAGCTTACTGTGCCACCTGGTTGATGACAGGGGCAAAGTTGGTGGGGCCGTAGAGCTGCACTTTCCGGAGACAGTCATAGTACGCCTCCAGCACGCCTTCAATGCCGACGCAGTTTGCATTCTCACAGTCTGAGTTCTACGAGGTCAAAATACACATGCATTCCAGAAAATTGTCACAAGTTCATATATAGCACATGAGGAATAACATCAGTAATTTCTGACTTATTCATACTGGACTGAGGCATATTTTATATTGTTATATGCTATGTCCCAAGCTAAAAATTCATGACAGCATAGTTTAGCTTTAATAATGAATATAACGTCTGTGTGGTTTGTGTTTTAAAGGGATAGTTCACCCAAAAATGAAAATGCTGTCATTGTTTGTCGTTCCAAATCTTACTTTATTCTGTGGAACAAAAAAATAAGTTATTTGAACTGTTCTTGTTTATACAATGAAAGGCAACAGGGTCCAATGTTGTCCATTTTAGAAAAAAATATTTTTTTTTAATTTAGGAAGAAATAAAAGGTCATACAGGTTTGGAATGACAGAGTGAGTAAATAATAGGGTTTTGGTATCGTTTGAATTTTATCGAATCCGATTCCGGTTCCGATTCTGCTTATCGATTCCAATAAGATAAAAAAATCCATTAAACAAATTTTAAGTCAAATATTTAGATGTCAAACATATTTATTCTGTTTTATGTCTATGGTTTTATCCAAAAAAAATACCACAGAATAAAACAACTAGACTAATATAAATTTCAAACATTAAATTGTTAAAGACAAGTAAACAAATGAATTAGCAATAGCATAAGTAAATAAAACTGAACAAATGTCAGGTACAGAAATTGTTTTCTTTTCATAAATAAAATATTGATTAATCCTCATTAAATTTACAAAAGATATTCAGTCAGTTGATGATTTTCTTTTGTTCTTTGATTAATGATAGGCAGCACGTTTATTAGACGGCTGTCTCTTTAACACCGAACACACACAGATCTAAAAATGCTGTTACACATGCGTTTTCTTTCTCATATGTTTACATTCAAGACAAAAAAACGGCTGTGTTTATGATGATATACTGACGTTTTTCGTGCATACTGGTCGATAAATGTGAAAGAGAAGTCAGTTCTGGCCCGGAACAACTTTTGTGGAAATGCACGGAACAGTTCGAGAACGGACACAGGTCGGGAACCTGCATCGGGACCACTGTTCTCTGTGCTCGCACTTCAGATGTGTGCGCTGCACGCAAACAGTGTGCAAGTTCTTTCCCTTCCTGCACTTAAATAGTTTAAAATCACATTAAAATGCAAACACGGGAATCGTTAAGCGGAATCGAAATGCACGTGTCTTATAGAATACCCGATTATTGGAAATTTGGAACCGGTTCTAAAATGGAACCAGTTCTCGATACCCAACCCTAGTAAATAATGACAGACTATGCATTTTTGCAAATTATTTTAACCACCCAACATTACTGTTGGCTGTGTGTGTGTGTGTGTGTGTGTGTGTGTGTGTGTGTTTTGAACCCTATAAACCCTATTGTATGATATTTGATACACAAATTTCTTTTAAATTATCAACATGACCAAAACTTTGCTAAAAATCTGTTGTACCGGTTACATTCTCTCTGTCGTCTGATTGATAGTTTAGTGTTTTTTAGCAAGTAATTTGAGTATCATTCTTAAAACATCCACTGATTTTTATAAAGTAAACATAATAATAATTTTTATATCGTTAGTAATATTTCAAGATGAACACTTACTGGACTAAAGCAACTTAGGTTTACTTGTTTATTCATTAATCATTTTTCTTAAATAATGTTAAAATGTATCAAATATGATAAATCAGGCTTTTGAGGAACATTTATTTTTACATCTATCAGTCATAATTGCATAATTTGTACTTATTTTACCCTCCAAAATAAAAACCACAGAGTTGGATCATAAAACAAAGCATTTAAATATCATCTTATAAGACATATTATTGGAAAATATAGATTGACAATTGATATATATATATATATATATATATATGCATTTATATGCAAGTAGCCTGTTATACTGTTAGAATGCTCTCATTAATTTACATTGCAAGTTATCAGAATTTAATCTTTCTGGCTATATAAATTCATATTTCTGTTTGGGCCTCTAAATAAAATTGATGTGTTCCTTTTTTCTCCAATATCATGAGCAATAAAAGCCTGATATATCATTATCAATAACAGTATACTCAACAAAAAGCACACATGCAAACTTTCTTTTTTAAGTTTTTTATATTTCGTTTAAAGGTTCAAAAAACTTTCATTTCAAAAAATTAGATTTTTCTAACTATTATTTCATATGTCAGGCTTTACAGGGTTAAGGATGGCTCTTTTCAAGCTGTTACTCACCAGGGGAAAAGCATGAGAGATCTTGCCATCAGGAGGGAGTTTAGCTCCAAAGCCGTAGGCAGGGAAGAGTTTGTCACTGTCATAATCCTGGACGATTTCCCCCACGGCTTTAAGGGCCATGGCATAAGCATTCAGCTGGTATGGGTTCATGTAGTGGAGCGATGTCGGCTGTGATGGGTTTCCTGCGTTCAGATATCAATCAATTCAACTTTAGACAGAAGTGCAAAGACAACATGGTCACTAACATCAGTGCCGAGCTCTAAATCTAAAACAGACATGAGACAGTCGCATGCCACACAACCACAATTGCTTGTGTTGTTGTATTTCAGTGAATGAAGATGGTCTTACCATTAGAGGCGGTGAAGTCTATGGCTACAGTGAAGTTCAGCTGTGTTCTGTTTTCAACATTGAAAAGAGTTTTTTTTTAAGAAGTTAAGATTTTTATTCAACAAGGCTCATTAAATTGATCAAAAGTGAAAGTTAAGACATGTATTATGTTACAAAAGAAATTACAAAATTTAAAAAAAAAATGGAAAATTTCTATTTGATAAAAAAGCGGTTCTTTTGAACATTCTATTCATCAAAAAATATTGGGGGAAAAAATGATCATGGTTTCCACAAAAATATTAAGCAGCACAACTGTTTTTAACATTAATAATAATAAGAAAAGGCTTATGTGAAACTGAAGACTGGAGTAATGGCTGCTGAAAATTCAGCTTTGCCCGCACAGAAATAAATTCAATTTTAAAATATATTAATACAGAAAATGTTAAAAGGAACTTTTTCAAAAACATGAAAAAACTAAATCTTACAGACTCCAAACTTCTAATTGATTCTTATTTATTTATTTTTTGATTGATTGCACATTACACATATTATTATTAGCATATTAGCAAAAACCTAATTGATCAACTTCTTCTTTGATTCAATTGATCTTAGTATTTATATTGTCTCCCTTTTGTCTTAGTGACAGCAGTACTTGAGCTGTCATGAACAAAACCTGATCCATATTATTCGTACTTCAAAGATAGCAAGACACCTGACCTTTACAAAGGAGTTTGCATACTCAATGTCACACATTTGATTAGTAGTCCAGAGTCTAAATATTATAGTCCAAATATCTCCTACTCATTTGAATTCATTTGTATCAAAATGTCTTTGTTAAATGTTCAAAATACTAATACTTTAATTCATTTCCAGGTTTAAATTCAATTGATTTTCAACGTGGAGCTTTTGAATGCCACTGTATATGCAATTTGTTTTGTTTTTTTTACTATAATTAAGTATAAATGCATATACATAAATGCTATAATTAACTATAAACGCATATTTATATTGCTAATCAAAGTGCACTAGTAAATTATGCTGAAACTTCAAACTTCAGAGCAAATTGTCAAAAATGCTTCTAACCTGGACATGTTAAATGAATCAATCAATCAATAAATTATCTTTTTTTTGTGTGTTTAAAATATACAAGCATATGTTTTTTTATCAAGTCAATGCATAATTAAAAGTCTAACTGTAATTAAATGGCAAGCATATGGTATGATTTACTGGTTTACTAAATCATTGCCTTGATTTCAGTTGTCTGGAAATGAGTATGTGATGGTTGCTTTAGACTTTTTTAAATTAAATAATTTTTTTATTAGGGCTGTAAATTGATTAAATGTGCTTCTTACTCATTCTTTACTGTCTGCTCTCAGTAAGCATGGTTTGGGGAGCCAGGTTTCTTGCTGACTTTCAAAAACATGAAGGCTTGAATGCTTGCATGGCTCCAGTTATGGAATTTATGAAAGTGACATTGTGTCGATTTTTTAAAACTATCACATTATAGTAATACATCATTTTGACACCCCTAATTTTTATATGATCCATCAAACTATTTGACCATTACTGGGTTTATCCTTGAAGCACATAATAACCATAACTAGGTTGTCATCAAAAAACTTTATTTTTATTCTGTTCTATGTGTCAGTATTCAACACACGTGCTGGTAATGCCTGAAAAAATGAATGGTAAGTGAACTGCCCTGAAAGCTCAATGACATTAAGATCCACTCTGGTTTATTGGTATTGTCTTGAACACAAGATATTCAGATTGACTAACCATAATTCCACAATACTATAATTAAGTATAAATGCATATACATAAATGCTATAATTAACTATAAACGCATATTTATATTGCTAATCAAAGTGCACTAGTAAATTATGCTGAAACTTCAAACTTCAGAGCAAATTGTCAAAAATGCTTCTAACCTGGACATGTTAAATGAATCAATCAATCAATAAATTATCTTTTTTTTGTGTGTTTAAAATATACAAGCATATGTTTTTTTATCAAGTCAATGCATAATTAAAAGTCTAACTGTAATTAAATGGCAAGCATATGGTATGATTTACTGGTTTACTAAATCATTGCCTTGATTTCAGTTGTCTGGAAATGAGTATGTGATGGTTGCTTTAGACTTTTTTAAATTAAATAATTTTTTTATTAGGGCTGTAAATTGATTAAATGTGCTTCTTACTCATTCTTTACGGTCTGCTCTCAGTAAGCATGGTTTGGGGAGCCAGGTTTCTTGCTGACTTTCAAAAACATGAAGGCTTGAATGCTTGCATGGCTCCAGTTATGGAATTTATGAAAGTGACATTGTGTCGATTTTTTAAAACTATCACATTATAGTAATACATCATTTTGACACCCCTAATTTTTATATGATCCATCAAACTATTTGACCATTACTGGGTTTATCCTTGAAGCACATAATAACCATAACTAGGTTGTCATCAAAAAACTTTATTTTTATTCTGTTCTATGTGTCAGTATTCAACACACGTGCTGGTAATGCCTGAAAAAATGAATGGTAAGTGAACTGCCCTGAAAGCTCAATGACATTAAGATCCACTCTGGTTTATTGGTATTGTCTTGAACACAAGATATTCAGATTGACTAACCATAATTCCACAAATGGTTTCCATGCATGCCTATTCCAGCTGCTCTCTAACCGATAAATCTGCATCTTTCTCCAGCCTAATATATCCAATGCCTTTAAAGGGGCACTCACCCTCCTCGAATGAAGTCCACAAATGTGTACTCCGATTCCACTTTGAAGGACAAAAGTGTTACCTAGAGAGAGTGAAAGAGAGAGAGAGGAGAGAGATAATGGTAGTCATTATGAAAATAAATCAGAAGAGGAGAGCGCTTGACAGGTAATCCATTCACACGTACCGTGCCAGAGTTGACGTATTTCTTTTTCCTCCCTTTCTTCTTAGGATTCAGAACCTAAAAGAAACAAAAAGACACCCATCAAGCATGGCTGAAAGGAATATGACATATTACTGAAGTGTCCTCATATGTTTTCTTTTTTCTCTCTTGTGATTCATGAAACATTTTTGGCACTTCATGAATATGGCTCATGTTGTTGTATTTGTTTATTTAAATTAGTTCAAAATGATCATTGCATGAAAAGTAACTCGTTTTTAACACATTAAAGTCTATCACTTTCTCTGTTGTATCTAACAATGTTATATTGAAATCACTGTAGTAAAAAACTATTTATAATTAACACATTTTAAGTACTAAAGCACAATATTTAGCGGTGTCCCACATTTTTGTATATTTTATATAAACTATTACATACAAAAAACAGTTATATATTTTTGAAACCCTTTTTCACTTTTTAACATTTGCAAGTCAAATTTTTACCCTTTGCATGGCAAGTGTTTTTAAACACACCAAAATAACTCTAAAAGTGCTCATGTGTTGAAAATGTATTCATGCAAAACAATGTTTTTTACCTCATAAACATTGAATTGGCTCTGTCCGCGAGACAGCTCTCTGTAGCTGGTTGTAAACTCTCCGATGAAATCATGACTGAAGAAAAATGAACTTGAGCTTACTTGAGCGAGGAATATTTAATGAACATTGCACAAGCATGCTGAGAAGAAATTATTTTGGCTAATGAAAATTTGGCTTGAGTTATTCTTGTTATGCAGGATAATTTATGTATTCATAAACACAGTATTTACTACCTACAAGGGGGAACACAAGCCATGAAAAACAGCTTACCTTCCATCTCTGTCCCAGTCATAAACATCAACCTTCACTGTTCTGGAGAGATTACAAACAAATCAAACACACAGCAAGTCAATATCTAAAATTAAGTGCAGACAGCCTGAGTTTTCTCAAAAGGTCAGAGTATGACAGCAGCCTGGTGAGTCCACAGAAAGCTGGTCCAAAGTAACACCAGCACCGGCCACTGCCTCACTCCAGCTGACTGCTGGGATTATTCCGACTGCCACAGTGACACAGCTGCCCGTTTCCACAGCTCACGGCACCAGCGGCGTCTCGTTTAAACACCTCGGAGCTCACAAGTCTGAGGGATGCTTTAAAGGTACAACAAAAAATCTATTTCTCTCAAAAATCACAGACTCCTATCAAAAAGTCAAAGATGGTTTAAATGTTGGGGACACAAATACAAATGTGCTGGTCCTCGGAATGCACCCAAGAATCGAATGCATTAAATCAATACTGTGTCTTTACTCATATCATACATTTACTGTATTAGGGCTTAAATTACACATTTAAGCTATTTTTACCTATTTTTTTAACATTGTTAATGCATTTATCCAATATGATATTCTGTATTAATATCTTCTGTGTGATTTTAACAAATTGCATTTCTTTTTAAATGACCAATGACATTATAGTAAACTAAAACGAAAACCATTAAAAAAATTGTTACTTGAAATAAAATATTATCTAAAATAAAATGTATTTCAGCTAGTTGCCAATGCAGCATTTCTCAATTTAATATAGTTTAACTTAATGTATTAAAATGACTAAAACTGAAATAAAAATTCATATAAATATATATACATATTTAAAATACTAAAAATGACAAAAGCATACAACACAGTTACTAAAACTTTAAAATTAAAATTAAAACTGAAAATTAAAAAAAGATTCAAATATTAATAAAAACTATAATATTACCTCGATGATACTAAAATAACCCTGTTATGGATAACATTACAATTACACATTATTTTGTTTTCATTCCTAAAAAAATAACAATGCATTAACAAGGAACGCATTTTGAGATTTATTACAATGAAACATTTAACAGATTGACAGCCCTAATATTAAAAGTAAAAGGAAAGGCATTTAAACCCATTTCAACCCAAAATTTCAAATGAAACAAGTGAATATTTTATAACTGGTATTTTCTCTGGAAAACATGAGTCAATTAATTATTCACAGCAATATGCAGAAATATGCATTAAGAAAGCAAACAGGGTCAATAATGGCTTCATGTTAACATTAAGTAGCCATGCAGCAGGGTTATACTCTTTGTAAGGTTTTTAAGAGCCTCACCTGTCATAGTCTCCGTTACAGAGAGCTCGCACTGGGATGGTGAAGGGCTGCCACACAGGGTTCAAAGTATTCTTTATCACCTCTGTTTTGTGACAGATAGTGAACCTACAAAAGAGCCAAATCAAAAAGGAAATCTTACTTAAAGGCTTGTTATGACACCCGTGCGGTTTTCTTGGAAGGAATATGTTTAAAAACTAATACCAACGAAACACAGTGTAACATCTATAAAAGTGGTCATCATCAAGAGCAGCTCATGGTGGGCATGAAGAGCCTCTTGGGTTTCACAACACTACCATAACCCTCTGTTATCAGTCAAGTGAGCTAACACTTATGGATCATTTTGTGTTTTATGGGGTTTTTAATGTTCAGTCTAGAAATATTTAGCTAATACCATGTCCTAACCAAGCACAAAATAATAAAAAAAGGGTTCAACCATGTCAACACAAAACAGGACATTTTGTTGGTTGTTTGATTTCTGTTTAACAGTAAGCATAGCTGTATATTAAACCCCAAATATGTTCTGACTGATGGTGATTTTCTTGCTTCAAAAATTATTTAATAATCAGTGAGGACAGAAAGATCTGGAAAAAGGGAAATACACCATAAAAATGCAGTTGTTTGTTCCAAACTTCTGAAAATTCAGTCATCAGTTACTCATTTACAAAGAAATTAATTTACAATGAAAGCCAATGGGGCCTAATGTTGTCTGGACACACCAGTGTACATTAAAGTATCTTCTTCTGCCTGTAAGGAGCAATTTGTACCTGATCGAACCCTAAAAATTACATTTGTTTGTGTAATTTAATGTAGTAGTTAGGCTCATCTTTTTTTGCTGAAATAAAAAAATATATTTATTTAGGTTACCTGACAAAAGTACATGTTGCATCATGCCTGGTTAAGGCATGTTTTTAAAGGAACAGTTCACCAAACACTGAAAATTTGCTGAAAATGTACTCACCCTCAGGCTGTCCAAGATGTAGATTCGTTTGTTTCTTCATCAAAATAGATTTGGAGAAATTAAGCATTACATCACTTGCACACCAATGGATCCTCTGCAGTGAATGGTTGCCGTCAGAATGAGAGTCCAAACAGCTGATAAAAACGTCACAATAATCCACAAGTAATCCACACCACTCCAGTCCATCAATTAACATATTGTGAAGTGAAAAAAATGTGTGTTTGTATGAAACAAACCCATTATTAATCCATCATTTTTAACTGTAAACCGTTGCTTCTGCCTAAAATATGAGTCCTCTACCTATAATATAGATTTTTTTCAGTGAAAAAGTAATCTTGTCTGAATCAGGAGAGAAATATGCACAGATCAAGCAGAGGTTACAAGCAAAAACAGCCTAAAACAGTTCTAAACTAATATGTTGGTGAATTTTGATGCAACTTTTTCACAGTAGATAGCAATATTATGGATTATGGACTTGAAGTGCCATATTTTGCCCAGAAGTGATAGTTTAATGATGGATTTATTTCTTATAAACATGCAGATTTTCACTTCAAAGGATGTTAATTGATGGACTGGAGTCGTGTGAAATACTTGTGGATTATTGTAATGTTTTTATCAGCTATTTAGACTCTCATTCTGACGGCACCCATTCTCTGCAGAGGATCCAATGGTGAGCAAGTGATGAAATGCCTAACTTCTTCAAATCTGTTTCAATTAAGAAACAAACTAATCTGCATCTTGAATGGCCTGAGGGTGAATTATTGTCAATTTTGGGTGAACTATTCCTTTAAGACGATGTTCATGAATAACAGAAAGCACGATAAATATTCCTTTAGCTGCTCATACTCACGTGCCATCTTCATTGCTGCGGTAAAACACCAGGAAGGGATCAGACTTCCCAAAGAAATCCTTCTTATCCAACTTGTTAGCACAGAGTTGCATGGTTGCAATGTCCTGTTATAAAATTATTTTGATTACTTTGGGATAGATGGGAATAGAATATTCCTAAAGCTACCAAAAAAAAACAAACAAGTTGCACAAACAAGCAAACAAAACACATGCACCCCTGACACAGAGTCTTCAATACTGGAACTATTATATCCAACAATGCATTTTAATCGCTGGAGTTCAGGACACAACAAAGGCAAAATACTAGGACAAGAAATCAATTCCACAGAGAGGACACACTCGTGTTAGAGGAGAACAGCAATTGGTTCATACATATTAATGTTGAGCGGAGGTCTCCAGAGTTTAGCTATTTATTGGTGCTGTTCTCTTCAGAATACCAGATCTCTGGGGAGACCCTCAAGACCAGGAGGAAAGTCACACATGCAACAGATTTAATTGGATATTGATAGAGAGAGAATGTCTAGGGAGCACTCAAGGAATACGGTCTGGGTGTCACACTGGACAGATAACTCATCTGCCTTTTAAAACGGCCATCTCTCTTGGGGAGACTGAAGCTGTATTTGAGGTGAACTGTCACGGCTTTCTGGCAAAAACTCCCTGTAGCTACATGCTATTACAAGGACACAGAGGGACGAAATTGAATATATATACATAATTTCTGTCATCTGAAATGATATTTATGTGGTTGTATGGACTGGCCCAAGGCACTAAAACCGTCAAATTGTTAGTGGAATGACTGAAAAGAGATGGACAGTTTAAAACTGTTATTAACATGGACGGGTCAAAATAGTGAGCCAAATGCTAAAGATGACATGATCTTGCAGTCTTGCATTTATCGCCGTAAGTGTACAAGGGTTTAGGATTATATGTGTGTGGGGAATCTCACAAAATTATGTCCAGGTCCCATTTCACCCCAAAATCAAACAGGTTTTCTTGTGCGTCATGAAATTTTTTTAGGACCATTAAGCACATTTACCACACAACCCCCTGCTTAAATAAACATACACTACTGTTCAAATGTTTGAGGTCGGTAAAAATTAATGTTTCAACAAGGCTGCATTTATTTAATCAAAAATATAGTAATATTGTAAAATATTATTTCAATTTAAAATAATTGTTTTGTACTTAAAATTTATTTTAAAATGAAATGTATTCCTGTGATGCGAAGCTGCATAATTTCAGCATCATTACTCCAGTCGTCAGTGTCACATGATCCTTCAGAAATGGTGCTCAAGAAATATTTCTTATTATCAATGTTGAAAACAGTTGTGATGCTTAATATTTTTGAGAAACCATAATAAAAAATGTTCAGGATTCTTTGATGAACAAAAAGTTCAAAAGAACAACATTTATTTGAAACAAAAATCTTTTGTAACATAATCTCTTTAGTCACTTTTGTTCAATTTAACGCATTGCTGAAAAAATTTATTAAATTATTTCCCCCCCAAAAAAAAAAGAACACAAATCTGACCCCAAACCTTTCTAGTGTATATTGTAAGTGATAATTCTCATTTCGGTAAAACATTTTTAATGTATTATTTTAAACCAACATATAGTAAATTAAAGGGCTACAAATACATCCATGATGTATGAATACTTTAATATTTCAAATAAAATATATTATTATATCATCCATTTTTAATTATCCTTTTTTTTTCTTCTAATTTATCAATTAGCAATAAAGTGAATTGTGGCAGGAAATTTGATCATTATTATAAAAAATAATGTTGTAATGCAAAACCTTTAAGCAAACTGAAATTTTTTTAAATCAACGTACAGTAAATGAAAGTGCAACAAATACTCTTTTTTTGCATAGCAGTAATGTGAATTGGGCCAGGAAATGTGGTAATTATTATAAAAAATAAAAAAACATTTTGTAATGCAAAGTAAATCGTAATGGTTCTAGAAGCTTCATTTACTTTAAACGAAATGTTTTTTTTTGTTTTTTTTAGATTTTTATATGGAAATTTGCACTATGATAAAATATCACATGTGCTTGACAGTTTTCATGAGATTCACTCGTTCACTCTTTAGCGACTACAGAGAGATCGATGGTGGATTAACTGGGTAAATCTATATATTCATTACTTTTTCTGTCTCTCTGTGCCTAATCTTAGCAACAACAAAAAAAAAGCAACAAAAAAACCTTCACCTCTGATATTTAAGTACAATGTCTTAGGCATTCGGCTTGATGAAAAACTGTAGAGTCAGAGTAAGTGTGTGTGCATGAGGATAGTTTTGTACTGACCCGACAGTTGCTGAGTTCCTCAGCTGTGAAGATAATGCTCCCGCACTTCTTCCCAGGAATGCCCCTTGAGACAAGATAGATAAATGCTTTTAAACTTTCAATAAAATGTGGGGTAACGTTTTTAAAGACAAGAGTTCAAGTCAACCCCTCATGAAGACTGGCACAGTTTTAAGCACACTCAAAATCAGGACAAATAAGACGACTCCATTTTTGTGTACTTTTTCCAGAGTTGCCCAAGCGCTTTTTGCTGCTAAGAGCTTTTTCCAGAACAATTCGATTGCACTAGTGGTAATGGTGGGCCACTTCAGTCGCTGAATACCCCACATCGAACCTCTGAAAAGAACATGATTCACCTGAAAAGAGGGAAATTGTAGGGAATGAGGGGGAAAAGGTGATGAGGGTTTCCTAGAAAAAAGATTAAAGGCTGAGGGTGAGGACTGAAAGAATGTGAGAGGGAAAAGAGAGAGATTCTGAGTGAAAGAGAGGAAGCAGCAAAAATTAAGTGATGGAACATTATAAATGCAAAGAACGACACTGAACACACATTGATTTTTGGAAGTTAATAAAAATGAAATTATATATTTCTGAGTGAAAGAGAATATTCAATTTAAAAAAAATGTAGACTGCAGATTATATATATATATATATTTGTTTTTTTTTTGTTTTTTTTGAAATAAGTCTCTTATGCTCACCAAGGCTGGATTTATTTGATCAAAAATATAGAAAAAAACAGTCATATTGTGAAATATTATTACAATTTAAAAATAACTGTTCACTATTTAAATATATTTTATTCAATATAATTTATTCAGCAAGGATACATTAAATTAATCAAGAGACAGTAAGACATTTATAAGGTTACAAAAGATTTCTTTATCAAATAAATGCTGTTCTTTTGAACTTTCTATTCATCAAAGAATCTTGTTTCAACATTGATAATAAGAAGAACCATCAATGATAACTGAGCACCAATAATAATTGATAATAACTGAGCATCAAATTAGAATGATTTCTGAAGGATCATGTGACACTGAAGACTGGAGTAATGATGCTGAAAATTCAGCTTTGCCATCTGAATTTTTTTTATATATTAAAATAGAAAACAGCTTTTACATTGTAATAATATTTCAGAGTATAATTGTTTATTCTGTATTTTTGATCAGATAAATATAGCCTTGGTGAGCAAAAGAGACCTTTCAAAAACAAAAAATATGAATTATTCCAAACTTCTGACTAGTATATCTTTTCTTTTTATAACATGCAGCGATGAATCGTTCAAAATAACACTAGGAACATTCATTAAGAAGTCAAATTTGAAATAAGTCTCTTATGCTCACCAAGGCTGGATTTATTTGATCAAAAATATAGAAAAAAACAGTCATATTGTGAAATATTATTACAATTTAAAAATAACTGTTCACTATTTAAATATATTTTATTCAATATAATTTATTCAGCAAGGATACATTAAATTAATCAAGAGACAGTAAGACATTTATAAGGTTACAAAAGATTTCTTTATCAAATAAATGCTGTTCTTTTGAACTTTCTATTCATCAAAGAATCTTGTTTCAACATTGATAATAAGAAGAACCATCAATGATAACTGAGCACCAATAATAATTGATAATAACTGAGCATCAAATTAGAATGATTTCTGAAGGATCATGTGACACTGAAGACTGGAGTAATGATGCTGAAAATTCAGCTTTGCCATCTGAATTTTTTTTATATATTAAAATAGAAAACAGCTTTTACATTGTAATAATATTTCAGAGTATAATTGTTTATTCTGTATTTTTGATCAGATAAATATAGCCTTGGTGAGCAAAAGAGACCTTTCAAAAACAAAAAATATGAATTATTCCAAACTTCTGACTAGTATATCTATAAGAAATTGATTGGTTTGTGAAAATCATGTGGTGAAAAATAAAGCTTGGTGACATCAGCTGTAAAGGAAAAAAAAACTTTTCTTTTTATAACATGCAGCGATGAATCGTTCAAAATAACACTAGGAACATTCATTAAGAAGTCAAATAGAGTCATTTCTGATTTCATGCGGACTCTAAGTGGACATGGGCTTATGCACAATACGTATCCAATAGCATATACTGAAATCTGGGTAGTCTAATATAGTTGTCATAAAATTATAAAATGAGATGATTGATTCCAGCTCCAAAGATCTGTCTCCATGGCCACAGACTCTCTTTCATCATTTTTAAACCCCATTCTAAGTGGTCTCATGCCATCTTTACATTTGATTGGCTAAAATTGGATTCCCAAGGGAACAAATATCACCGCAACAGCTGAGTGACAGGTTAGCCTGATGCTTTAGTACAGCCTTTGACCCTCCATCTATTCACACATACACACACACACACATACGTGCATAAACTCACAATGGTATGCACACACACACCTACTGACCACCTGCAGGCTAGAAATCCAGTTAAAGCTCAATGATGCCAAATAGGAATTTAGACTGAAGGACGTCTAAGACAGGCAAGCGTCCCACCACGCTTCTCATCTCCCCCCTCCTGAGACACATGTCAGATCCAGACATGCAGGTAAGATTCAGTGAGGCGGATCTGCCATGGAGAAGCTAGAGGTGGCATGGAGTCTGAAAATGACTCTTGGTAGTGGGAAGTGTTTTATCAAGTTATCTCCAGTTGGCTGAGCTGTAATAAATGTAATTATATAATAGTTAAAAAAAATCCATTGCTGCATATTATTGCAAATTTCACAGTGCAATCTGGAGAAATAAAAAAAAATTGACCACGAGGATCACTCTCCAAAATGGGTTCCTTTTGTTTCCCTAATCGATGTATAAATAATGACAAAAATGTCACAAACAAAAATCTAGTAATTTTCTTCTATTTTCTGCCTTATCTTGATACCTTTATTGAAATAAGACATTTTCCATAAATTTCCATCTAATCTATTTTAGTTTGAAACTATATATTTCAAGCATGGGTGCATTTAATTGATCAAGTGACAGTAAAGACTTTTACATTGTCACACACAAAAAAAATCTATTTCTGCGCTGTTCATTTGAACTATATTATTATGATTTCTGAAAGATCATGTGACACTGAAAACTGGAGTAGTGATGCTGAAAATTCAGCTTTGCATCACAGCAATAAAGTACATCTTAAAACGCAGTATATTATAATAGAAAACAGTTTGTTTAATTTGTAATAATATTTCAATTTAATCAAGTTTTTACTGTATTTTTGATCAAATAAATGCAGCCTTGGTGAGCATAAGAGACTTGCACAACAAATATGAAAGTAATTTCTAAAGTAGTTTCAAAATGGAAAATCTTCACAAAAAGATCTCAAATGCAGCATCTAAAATAGACAATAAACAATACCGGACAAAAAAAAGCAAGCTTTGGGACACCACTAGAGGATTTTTTTGGTGTAGGAGAGAGTTCAGCTTGTCTGAAGAGTTCACGTCTTGCCCCAGGCATCAACTCATCATGCTCAAGGTCACACATGGCTCATCATAACCGTAGACTCTCTCATTACTCAGTACCAGCGAATGTATAACTCAAGACAGCTATCACAGTGTCACTAACTCTCGGCATTCACTTTCCCGCTGCTATGGAAACAACTTATAAAGGTGAGCCGAAGAGGTTTTCAATCCCAACTTCTGCAGCGAATGAGGTCTCCATCACTGCTGCCGTACACAAAAGAACAGGAAGTGCCACTAGTGTATGTAATACTGGATTCTACAGAAATAAAAAGAATGAGAAATAAAAAAATATATATATTAATAATAAAAAAATTCACTGACTGACTGGCGGGAAATTAATGAGGGAATAAATTAATAACATTTAATGAATGACATTTAAGATTTCCAGAAGATACGTCTTTGGATTTAGAGTTATTGCACTCAAATTCCTCGCTTTCAGTTAAACCACATTGTGGTACGAAACTATTTATGGTCACAGGCAAAGAATACACTCTTTTCCAGCTGGGCTGTCACCTCTCTAACACAGCATATCTGACAGACAGAACAAAAGCATCTCAAGATTTTATCGGAGAGCTTCAAACCCCCCCGCTTTACTGTGTCTGTGCCAAAAACATCCTCCCTGCATGTTTAATCAGAGTCCTCGGCAGCCTGGATAAATCTGGGCGGCATTAGAACTGAGACGCTGAGTCCCTCTTACAGGACAAAGACATCCAGCACTGCTGTATGTGTGTCACGAACGCACCAAGAGATCCTTCAAAAGCACAAAAATGTCATTCCAGTACAAATTTGTTATTCAAATTAGTAGTGTGCCCACATATCAATTGTATTCACATTTTACATGTACAAAGTGACATTGTTTGGCAACCACAAAAAGTTACTTTTAGCAAAATAAATAAATAAAATAATAATAAATAATAAAGTGTTAACCATAAAATGTATTACTAATAATAGTATTGATATTCATATTTATTCATCATATTGTGAATTATTAATTGCTAATTATATTATTTAATAATTGTATTATTAATTAAAAAATTACATTTTCTACAGAAAATTTGATGCTGCTTACCCATATAGAACTCACCACCACAATGCTTTGAACTCAATGCCACAGCGTTTTAAAAAGTGTTGGGGAAAATTACTTTTAAAAGTAATACATTACAATATTACATTACTCCCCATAAAAGTAACTAATTGCATTACTTAGATCCTTTTTATAACGTAATGTGTAACGTTACTTTTTCTCATCTGGGCTGGGCTGGGCTTGCTTGTTTTTCATATAAAAAGTTCTCCCTTTACATTTACATTTAGTCATTTAGCAGACGCTTTTATCCAAAGCAACTTACAAATGAGGACAATAAAAGCAGTCAAAACTAACAAAAGAGCAACAATATATAAGTGCAAATGACAAGTCTCGGTTAGCCTAACGCAGTACACGTAGCAAGGTGTATATTATACACACATAAACACACACACACACACACACACACACACAAAGAAAAACAAGAAGATATAATAGGAAAAATAGAATAGAAAAATATAAATAACATTTTTTTCTTTTTTCTTTAGCAAATGTAAAAGCCCTTT